ATAAAAAAACACCCACTGACTACAGACACACAAATTTATTATACAGGCAGCAAGCGTTTACAGTGGCATCAGAAACACAAATAAAACTCACGTTCATTTGTGTCTTATATATTGATTACATGCACAACATTTAAAAAACATATAAAATTCTTTCTCCTTTCCGTCTTCATTCTCAATATCGGGAAAGCATTAACATATTGAGTGTAGTCCTACATTGTTGAGTCTCTCTCTGTACTATTAATATCAGTATTAATTCCCTGTCTAAATTGATTTAAGATTTATGAACTTTATAGAATTGGTATATATTATCAAAAATAAACACTGCAAGATGTTTTTATTTAGCCATAAGACAATAATGTTTCCAAAAAAATATTAATTAAGAAAAAGTTACTTTTTTCCTTTTTATTTTCTTTATGGAGGCAAATATTGTAAAAATGTCTAACAAAATTGACTTAATCTTTACTTTCCAGTAAGTCTTTTTGATAAAAATCTGTATTTTACTTTATGAGAACTATGAATATTATTCACTATTGACATAGCTATCACATGTTTTAACAATGCTTAAACAGTAGTTGAGCACACAAAATAATAACCTGTTATTTTTCAATACAAATGTTTTTCATGTACTTTTACTTAATGGTATAACAACATTGTATAAGTGACCGAAAAAACACAGTATATGTAAAATTTCATTGAATTTTATGAAATATAAAACTTTAGCTTACTGTATAATGGTAATCCCTTATTGTCTGTGAGGTTCAAATGAGTTTTAAGGTTTTTGTTAATCTCTTGAATTATATTTTGATGAAAGGTAAATAACACTTAATATCAGATTCACCACTATTGGTATACATTTTGTGATGCTGATGTTCATAGGAGTGATGACTGTAAAACATACAAAACTTGGATACAGAAACTTGTTATACATTTTGTGATGCTGATGTTCATAAGAGTGATGAATGTAAAACATACAAACTTGGTCTACACAGCATTTCATGTTGCAAAGCTGAAGTTTTTAAGAATGTTAATGGTCTACATAGTATTGCCTCATACAAAACTTGGATACAGATATTAGTATACATTTTGTGATGCTAATGTTCATAGAAATGATGACTGTAAAACATACAAAACTTGGATACAGATATTAGTATACATTTTGTGATGCTAATGCTCATAGAAATGATGACTGTAAAACATACAAAACTTGGATACAGATATTAGTATACATTTTGTGATGCTAATGTTCATAGAAATGATGACTGTAAAACAGACAAAACTTGGATACAGATATTGGTATACATTTTGTGATGCTGATGTTCATAGAAGTGATGACTGTAAAACATACAAAACTTGGATACAGATATTGGTATACATTTTGTGATGCTGATGTTCATAGGAGTGATGACTGTAAAACATACAAAACTTGGATACAGATGCTCATAGAAATGATGACTGTAAAATTAGCATCACAAGATGTATACTAATATCTGTATCCAAGTTTAGTATGTTTTACAATCATTACTCCTATGAACATCAACATCATAAAATATGATCAAGATCTGTATCTTAGCATCATTGTTCTAGAAAAGTTTCAACAACACAAAATGTAATGTTTTCTAAATCATGTTCTGTGCTTCATCCTTACAAACTTTAGCATCACTTATGATGCTACAAATTTTGTGTTTTTCCATCAGAATACATGCAAATTCCAACATTATGTATTAATGCTTTTTTAAGTTAATATTAAGTTAACAGTCACAATGCTATATAAGAAAATTTCATGGAAAACAATATAAAAATTGACATTGTAAGCTAATTTTGGACTAGTAAATTTCCATGTGGGTAATACTCAAAAATTTTAGCTTAAAACTTCCCAAAAGATCAACTCGTGATGAAATACACTGTATTAAAAAGAAGCGAATATGTTTTGAAAGGGTTGAAGATTGGAGTTGTACAAAGAGACTGACAAATTCAATTTTATAAGATTAAGAAAGACCACAGATAGGAGATGACATCTTACGTATCACAGATAGTGAGCTCATGAAGGCTGAAAAAGTTTTTAAAATTGCCAAAATATCCTTCCATAAAGGTAGGAATGAGAACAAAAAAGTCATACATGGTTTGAAAAAACTACAAACATCCATTTTGTTGGAAATATTAAAGAAAAATAAAAGCCTTTTGAAAAATACAGTATTGAAAGAAACACTGAGACATAAAAATAATGTTAGTCAGATATTCCATTGAGACACCAATCATTTTATAAAGATCTGGTGTAATACTAGCTCAAGCAAACTCCTTTTGTTCAATTCTGAGCATTCTGTCTGAAACTTCAATTTCTATAGATTGTTGGTATAAGCTTCTTTCTCCCTAATTTATGCTTGATGTTTTTTATTATCCAACAGCCAGTGTTTCTCCTTACTTTTTGAACTACTTTGACTTGGCAGAACCAGAGAACTATAATTCCTGTACTCTTTTTAAATATTTCAACTTTTTTTGTGCTCTCCCAAAAATATGTGGGTCACAAGCTTTCATAGTACAATGACAAGATGATACACTGAAGCACAAGTCTATTTACAAGTGACAAAACTGAGCAAGCACCATGTGTACAAGACAACAAATACAAATTATTTTATCAAAGTTTCTATAAAAAGAGACAGAGAATTTGGATAAATGTTCAATCTTAGCTAAGAAATACTGTTTAACATATAACATATATATTGAAAGATCAGAAAAAGAATCAATACCAAAAACCAGAAATTATGGTCTATACTAGGAGAACACCAATTTTTTTCCTTTAGCTGGATTATACTGTTTATGATAAAACAGATAAAAGTAATGTAATTCAAATGGGACAGATAATCATAATAAGCCCTCAGCAAATTCACAACACTTGTTTAAAATCAAAATTAGTAGTAACTAAGGATAAGATTGATGTTTTGGAATTATTTATAAAGATGAATTACTGATCTTCAAAAGACTAATACAATACAACATTGAAATATTCTGTTGCTTGAAGTGTCTCATATATCAATATATAAATACTACATATAAAATATTTACACTGAAAATAATAAATAATAAAATATTTCTCTCACAGGGAAAGAAAGAGGATCTGAATAAAGCTAGAACATTGTGAAGGATTTTTAAAACTTTTTCAAATGAAAGAAGCATCACCAGCTGTGTGTTTCCATAACTTTGAGCTAGTATCCCTAGCATAACAGAGGAGATAGCTGCAGACCAAAATAATAAAACCATTGTATTACCTTTGATATTTCATTTTGTCAATATTTCCTTTGATTAAAGGATATTAATCCTACAAAAAAAAAATATACTGGCCCAACTTTGAAATTCCTTGTGAATTTAAAAAGCATAATAAACGTAAAAAAATATTTAAAAAAATTTTCATAGCAAAATACTAGCTTTTAGTAATAACATTAAAACAAAACAAATACAGCTTCTTATGTGACTATCTTGAAAAGTACTAAGCTATCCATAACACACAAAATTGACATTCATAGGAGACAAGTGTAGACATTATATCTTAGCCTAAGATAATATCTAGTAACTACTTAAGTCATGCTGCTATAATTATTGAATACTTTCAGTAAAAGTATAGGACTTTTTTTTTTTAATTATAACAATATCCTATATTACAACATGCAATATTTTCTACCCCAAACCGTTTTTTGCTAAGAAATAATATTTCATGTTACATGCATTGAAACTAGGCAATAACACTGCTTCAAACAAACTAACTTTCTGAACACAGATAAGCCCAGTATCTTAATAATATTAACAAGTTTATGTTAACAAAAGCTCTCCTCAAATAACATTTCAGTGACACTGTTCCAGTCACTCAAGTTCACTTGAAACTACTAAATTTTGCATTATTCAAAATAAAGATTAAGGTACAATCCCTTTAAAAATCTATTAGTAAATGATCAAGAACTAAAATAATTAACATTATTGCTAAAAGTTAACAGTAATTTTTAGCTTTCTTCAGAAACATCTTTTTTTTTTAATTAAGTTTTACTTATACTTCAAACAACTACATGTTTGAGTGAAGTTTATAATTTACCAATACTTATTTATATTTCAATTACACAAGCATCAGTTAAATAAGTGCGATGAATAATTTATTCATATATTAAAAACAATCAAGTTTTAGTTTCTTTTTTTTTATTCCTGAAATAACTTTACTGGCAATCTGTTTAATAACGCAGAGGTATTGGGTCTAATTATTCACAATGAAAAAATTAATTTTTTTATTAAAAATGTATTGCATTAAATGTAAATAATAAATAATCATTTTTAACTTTTAGAAATTTGCAACAAAGTCTTAACTATTATGCCAATGTATTTGTGATTAAGGTAAAGTCATTTTTTTTATTAGCAATAATGATATATGTATTAACCTTACAATTTTGATTGCTTTGTTTGTTAAAATGTTACTTCCAAAATGTGTTTATTACTTGTTTTTATGATGCTTTTTCCGTTATAATTTATGCAGCATCGGGTCCTTAAGCATACATTCTCTAATCTACATTAGCCAAGATGATTCGTACAGTTAAGATAACATTTATGTAGCAAGTGAGAAGTTTCTGAAAACTTTACTTTAATAATAACCTAAATAGGTTAAAAAAAAGGGCTAGTACTTATATGAAATTTGTACCAATGTGGTAAAAACATGTCATATCCAGTAGACCTTTACATGTAATATTACTTAAGTAAAGAAACTTCTTTTACAACATAACTTGACTAAATATGCTGAAATAGGAAAGATGTCACACTTTTTATAGCCAAAAAATTCACCAAAACTTACATGTTTCCTACTTTTCCCCCCCATGGTTTTAATATTGACTGCAGACAGTATAGAAATTATTGTGTAAGCTACACACAGTTCAAATTTTAAACAGTAATTCCTAAGTTTTTTTACTAATTAGCCCAACATACTGGCAATAGTTTAAACACAAAGAATAACTGCAGACAGTATAGAAATTATTGTGTAAGCTACACACAGTTCAAATTTTAAACAGTAATTCCTAAGTTTTTTTTACTAATTAGCCCAACATACTGGCAATAGTTTAAACACAAAGAATATAAAACCAAGAGTATGAAGCCCTGACTCGCAGCTCAGACACTTTTGAAATTAAATAAGTTCAAAGAGTGAGAAGAAAGACATGAGTGGTAAAGCACCTTGTGAAGTACTCTACTAGCTGACTTGAACAAGAAGCATGAATTCTTAAAGCACATCTTAGAAATTAATAGGTACAGACATACGCTTGTTCCCAAACTTACACCTAAAAAACAATAGTCAGCACAAGGCCCTTCATTTGTCAATAGCTTCTATCTCTGCTTTGGGTGGTTCATCATCAACCTTTTCAGGTTTATCTTCAGGTTCCAGCTCCTTGGGTTTGTTTTTGTCATCTTCATCCTCATTCTTCTTTTCTGTTTTCTCTTCATCCTTTTCTTCTTTTTTCACCTCTTCTTCAGTTTTCTTTTCTTCTAAAAGAAGTGCACGTTGGTAACACACATCTGTTTATATATTTTTCCGTATAATTGTTCATTTTGCTTATAAATAAGTTTTGTTTTAGCTATGTTAACTAGATCAAACATTCTGAGGTAATTGCTGTGTGCATCATAATAAAGCTGTAAAACAGGTAGGTAGATAAATAGATAGAAATTCAACTCAGTTAACAACCAGAAAGCTACTATATTTGCATACCCACATAATTAATTAACAGCTACCACCTGAACACTATGGGAAAATGTTTAACTCTGAATAAAAATCACAGCTGATGTAATTCAACAACAACACTCAGCTGAATTTATATTTAGAAGGTACAAGTATCCTAAGATACATCTAATTAGTTAGTCTAGAAACATATAAATAAAGATGCATCAAGGTTTTAAATAGATTACAAGACTTGTGATAAAACATAGTCACAATGTGTCAATACAGCACTATGCACAAGTCTACACTGTATGTCTACCTTTGTTTAAACAGTTTTATACACTAGGAACTATACTCTAGATGTGAAACCTATGCCTTATAGACTGTCCCCTAAAATTAATTCATCATTATTCCTAAGCTAAGGTGCTAGTTCACTCCTCTCCCAATTCCTCACCATTCCTTCAGTTATCTAATTATACTAGAAAATGTAGAAAATATACCTCAAGAGTGTTTCACTAAAGATCTTTATTCTTGCCAGCTCAATAACATTATTTGGATTTACTGGGAGAATATTACATAAAACCTTGTTACAAGATATACCAAATGTTTGATATTTCAGATTATAAAATGTTTGATTAGGGATTGTTCAACACTTGAACCCCTGAAAGGCATTCAGTTATCTACTTGGATCACATAATATATTGATATATAATATATGGTTTACTTATACTGAAGTTCAAAACTTTTGAATTACCGCTTGTAGAATAGTTTGAGAAAAAATAAACAGACATATATAAAGGTATAAACAGAGACAGATACCTTCTGCTGCTTGCTCCTCTCCTTCCTTCTTTCCATGTTTATATTTCTTGGATTTCTTTACAAGGCCATTTTCAATTAGACTATAGGCAGTGTCAAGAATTGTTTGGCTCAGGTCTCGTGGGGTTATATCAAGAACCTCCTTCATCTGTGGGATGAAAACATGACAATAATGTATAAACTGAGACTTCATTCAAAAAAATGCTGTCAAAAGAAATTGTAAAAATAATTTTTAGACTAAATCTAGTTTTAAGTTTACATACATCCAAACTTACATGAATCTTCAAGAAATTTTGTCTTATATTATCATTCAGAAGAATATTACTACTGTTTTGTAAAAACTATTTTAAAAGAAGTTTTTAAATAACAAAATTTATAAAGTGATCATATATAGTCAATAATGGTATTTGGTGCAGTGGTAAGTTTATGAACTTACAACACTAAAATCTGGGGTTCGATTCCCCATGGTGGGCACTGCAGATAACCCAATGTGCATTTGTTCTAAAAACAAACAAACAAACCACTGGAATTATCACTATAAACATTTGATGGAAAGAACAACCATTACTCTGTTACTAGCAGTGGATGGCAAAACATAATGTTACTTTTGGAACATTAATCATGTAGATGGCACTGTACTATCAAAAACTGAGGCAGCACTCCATCACAAGATGTGGTTCATGCACACTGTTGATGTTCAGAGTCTGGTTAGAAAGTTTCAAGAGCCAGGAAGTGTTGCTGATCATCCAAGGTCAGGACTTCCATAAAAATCAGTGGACACTATCGTGGAAATACTGTGCACCACTAAAACATTTACTTCAGAGTCAAGGTCAAGTGTGCTGAAAGCTTTGCACATTATCCTGTGGATGTTCCCTTACACTATCTAGTATGTTTAAGAGTTAATAGTGCATGACGATGAGATTCCACCCACTCCCAAGAAAAATTTGTATTGGAGGTTGTGTCCCATTAGATAAAAATTGGCCAAAATGCACCTTATTGAATGATGAAGCCAATTTCACTCTTCATGGCTATATGCATATACAAAATTATGTCATGTAGGCCAATGAAATTCCCTAAAGGTCACTTTATGGCATTGTTTATCCACTGACTGTATCCTGGGACCATTCTCCTTTGGGGATAGCAGTATACAAAGTGACTTGACAAAATTATCATAACTTACACACTTGTGTCATATTAAAATTTCAAAAGTGTGGATGTGCACAAGAATTTATAATAATGTGGTATGATACCCTGCCCTATATCCACTGGCTGATAAATACAGTGCTCGTGCAAACGTTTGACAAGGACCAGGTTTTTCAGCTGACACTTTCATCATGCCTGACCACCATGATCTAGCTCCTACTGGTTACTGGTTATATGGCTTTCTGAGGGTGTGGGTGGTCTTTCTCCATCACCCAGCAACCATTCCTCAACTGAAGGATGCCATTCTGACATAGGTTTGAGCAATTTCTGGGGAGTTAATATGTGCTACAATATCTAGCACCACTTTCAAGGTGGATGTATTAATACAAATTATGGTGCAATATTGACCATTTGCTATAATGATGTCTCTCTAGTAACATTTCTAGAAGTCAATGAAATACATTTTTCTATGATCCCTTACATATGTACTAAAAATATTTCATCTGTATAAATTACATTGTTTGCTCTACAAACTGTTCCAAATACCTATACTGACTTTATAACCACCCCATGTTGCTGTTTAATAAAGTAAATGACAATTTATTGTAATTATGTATTACACATTTGATCAATAAGTGTCTTTTAGTGTAAGAAAACATAATTCTGTCAGGATTTTGACAAAGAAAAGAAAAACTAACCTACTAAGGAATGTTATGGTAAAAGTAAATGAGCTTTTTTTTCTTTTTCGCATGTGGTTTATGGCAACTAGGAAGATTAAGTATGAATCAGAAGTAAGCAACATTTTAGTCAATCTAGAGAATCAATGCCCACTAAGCTCAAAATAAGGATTAAGTTAATTAAATAACATATTGTTTTAAAATTAAAATATTGTTCATCCTTAGCATTTAAATAGTACATTTCAAGGAGAAAGTGTAAACTTTAACTTAAGTAAGGTTCTAATACATATGCACAGTTAGAAGTATGATTATTGTGAGGCAAACATACTATTTAATTTTCTGGATTACATGAGCTTTAGCAAGTCATTTGGTTGAAATATGAAACTAACAAGTTTATATATATATCTTCACTAAATTTTCAAATTCTTATTTCTCAGGTCTGCAATTCATCTGTCAGTTTGAAAAGATTTCAGTTAGAAAAAAATTGAGTGTCAATTAAAAATGGTTGAAATTGTAAAAGCAAACATAAATCTTCAGAATTAATACGAGAATAAGGATTGAAGGAATCTGATATAAGTATAGAAGAATAAACCAAAAAGATAAAATAATTAATTACAGAATGAAGCACATTACCACAGATAGTTTTAAAATCCATCCACAAAACCAATGCATATCAGCTAATGACTATTCCAAAACACCCTCACAATATTAAATTAACTAAAATCCGAGAGTCCAAAATCCAAACAGACTTTTCCTCTGATAACTGAAAGTGTTGTATTCAGGTAAGCTGATTTCCTCTGGATGAGTTACAAGAATCTGCACTCTGCCAAGGATCTCTTGCCTGTAACCTTTACCAGTTGGCTTCATCAACTTATTCGTCTGGCTTATGCATCAATGACTGAGGATTTTTGTCACATCTTTCAAGTTTCCTCTCATTAGATCTGTCATCTCACCCTTTCTCTGGCTGCTCATTTCCATGTCCATGAGAGGAGATCATGCAGGCTGGCATGTGGACTACATATCACATGTTTGTCTTGCATTATCTGCATCATATGGCCATCTCTTCCTCATCTGACTATCACTTACTGCCTGTTGCCATTCTTCATACCCTGCATAGGTTTTGAATGGGCAAGTCCTCACTTTTTTTTTATCTCTTACCTTTACAGTGGCCTCTTTCTACATCCATGGATCTCGCTCTGTGGTGAGTGGTGCCTGTTTAAGTATACTATAACTGTAAATCTGCACCATATGACCTTACAGGTCTTATAACACTCACTGATAAGATGGAGTATTCCATAAGACTGCTAAAGTGTACCTCATGGTATTTTGCTTCATAACTAAGGCCTATACCAGACCATACCAACTCATGGACAATCACAAGTAAAACAGTGTTAGGATCACTGCCCATCCGTCTGTTCAGAGTTGAATAACCCGGGATGGGCCTGCTTTTCAAAACAGGGTTTTCATGGTCACCCACTGCACTACCTTACAGTGTTGCATTTCTTTAGACTTCCCACTGCATTGTTCCCCACTTCTTACAGCAGAGTACAGGAGTCCTTACCAGTTCCTAGTCCATGGAGTGATAAACCGTGGAGGCTTCCTCTTGATAGAGACTGCTTCCACTCAGATGAGAGTAAGGTAATGATGTTCTGTCAGTGTAGATGGTGAGTACTCTCCTCCTACTGTGGACCAGAAGACAAATTACCAATGCTTCCTGGTTTTGGACTGGAGTTGATCCATGGAATATGGTCTGATGCACCCTAGCCACTCTACATCATCTAGTGCATCCAGTTACAAATTGGACAAGCATCTTTTCCATCCAATTTAGTGACACTTATATTTACACCAGGCAAAGAATATGTTATAGATGGGTTGCGATCTCCCACAGGTGTGGCCCTATACATTAGGGTATCACACTCCATGGGTTCTTTTCGAGCACCCTTCAAAGAGTGCTCATCTAGGTAACTTTTGTACTGTGCAATTATAGTTATTATGCAAGCAGAGGTAAGGTACTGTAATGGAAGTTAACATGTTCCTACACTGAAAATGTATATCTGATAGATACTTACTTTCACTCACACTTCCCACCCATCCTCCCCACTTCCGATGCATCTTTTTTGCTTAATCTCAAAGTGATGATAGTACTCTACAATATAGATGGAGTCAGCTGCTCTAGTAGGGTGTGTTGCACTCCTATTGGTGGAGGGTTGTCGCATGCTCATTGTCATGCTATAGCTCTGCTATACAATGTGTAAACACGTTAGGGTAGGTGGGAGCATCAAAGCTAGTGGCAAACAATAGTTGTGCATGTAGAGGGTAGCTCAAATCAAGGAAATCTATTATGTGAGAGGAGGTAAGTATCTATCAGAAACACATTTTCAATGTTGGAAAATGTTAACTTTTGCAGATACTTTTAAACTTCTGTGGGACATCAGTGTAACTGAATACCACAACATATGGAAAGGCATAAACTTTCAAGGGACTGTGAACAGTAACATTACAACAGAGTAAAAAACAGCTAACAAGAAACTATTAACATTGTGATCAACAAAGATATTATCCATGACTGTAAACAAGAAAAAATTATCCTAAGTCAAAAAAAAAGTCCTAGCTGCACTACTTGAACAAAAAAGTGGAAAACAAATCATCCTGGGAGTATTGGTGAGGTTTAGCTGTTATGTTAGAAACTATCTACAAAGTGAAAACTTAGACTCACATCTCTATTTACCAAGCAGATATTTGATACCAGAACTGTGAATGCTGCAAGTCTCAGTTCACACTTAACTGCTTTGTAAAGGTAAAATCATTAGTACTTCTAAGCTAAATAAATCAGCTTCTAAAAACTAAAATCAAGTTATTACCACATACAGAAGGTATTACACCCACAGAATAAAGATCATCAATTGTTATAGGTCTCGTATGGTTAGTTTTAAAGGACTTCACAAAATCAACCTAAGACTTTTCAAGGCCTGTATTTTTGTTTTGTTTTTTCAATATTAGACACAATCTCTAGTAGAATTAGTGGCTTATAATGAATAGATAAGATATTTTATGATCAGTAGAACTTGTATGGTTTCTTTACACCTCCTGCATCTGTGTTAGAACTTGTAATATGAATGTAACCTAGAAATAATCTATTATATTATACAGCTTTTATTTTCTTGAAGGTTTCTTCCTGTTTGATAATAAGAAAACATCTAAAGCATTAACAGATTGGTGCTGGATCTCCAGTCATAGTTCTAGAAATAAATTAATAGGAATTTCTGCTCTAAAGCAATGTCTTATTAGTTCAATATGATATCAGTGCTAACCTACCCTTGTACTGAAGATTCACTGCTGACTTTACAGTAAGAGCTATGTCATCAAAACAACAAGATAAAAAAGTGTAACTGCTTACTTCAGTGAATTCATGATTACTTAATGCCACAAGCCAGATACTTTAGCAAGGTAATTGAAAATCTTCAGAAGAATGATTTTAATGAGGTGAATTTTGTTGGAAAAATTTCTCAGCAGTAAATAGTTTAGATTTTATATATGGTTTATCATATTTATAGAGAAATTTTACCCATTATTTTTAAGTAGCAACATTTAAATTTGAGAATATTAAGTTGAAAAAATCCCAATTTTGGCAATTACTGATACTTTTTCCTAATTTCAAAAGTCACATGCATCTTTCAGTTATTTCAGCAATTCTTAACTGTTCAAATTAACAGCTTAAAGTAATACAACTTACTCGACTGTTGTCAAACTTGAATTCTCTTCCTATCCGGGGTAACAAAAGTCTGGTAGATTTATCAATAAAACTGTTCAACCAGACAGCAAAGTATGGTGCATTCATTGTCGGCACTCTATAGCCTAAAGATGGGGTTAAAACATGTACTAATTAATTCCAAAACAAAGCACTGTTTTTTGGCCAGTGATGAGGTGATATTAGGATGTTCTGTTACCTAGGTAGCTTGTTTTTAGAGGTACAATATTAACTTAAATGAAAATCAATACTGCTTACTTAAATAAACTATATGAAATTTAGGTATGAGCCATACTATAGTCCATTCCAGTAAAGTGTACAAACTATGAATGCAAATGGAAATAGCAAAAATACTTTTTAAAGTTACAATTCATTTCTATACTATTACTTGTAAAAAAAAGTTATGATTTTTAGTAAAAGGTTTGTAGAAGTGTCTATGTATAATAAATACCACAAAAAAGCAATGACGGAACATTACTATATATGCAACATGCATAGAACAATGTTATAAACTATCAACAGTACACATAAGATAATAACATTTTTTCATGCATCAAATTATTTAGTCAATGCGCTATTCTACTAAATAATAACAGACAAATATCACCTGAGGTAAGCCTCCTATGATGTCCAAAACTAATCATACAAATGCTCTTGTGTGATAGTTTTAATACTGTAAAATAATTAATCTTCTTTACAGCTTACATAACTAAATCAACAAATTTCCTTGAATAATTCATTTCATACACTTACAATTTTCTGACAATGGAACTTACTTTTAAAATAAACTTTGATCAAATAAAAATTATCTTTACTTATTATATACATTATCATTAAAGTTTACCAAATAAAACATCTAGAATGTCACTGTAGGTTCATACCTTGAGGTTTAAATTCCTTGGTTAACATCAGGGCTATGTCTTTTAACCAGACAGTCTGAGTGCAGATAATGTGACGATGACCATCAGAAGAAGGTGTAGTCATTGCTTTCAGGTGAGCCAAAGCTACATCCCGTACATCGCAAACACTAAAGTTTACTCTTGGAACTAATGGCATTCCTCGCTCTAGAAGCCTTTTCACAATCTAGGAAAAATAATATGTTTGTCATTTAAATATACACTGATGAGTTTTAATTGAATACTTCATGTTGTTTACGATGCTAATTAAAATACAACCAATTAGTTTGAAACTATGTTGGCAGGCATCAGATACTTCAAAGTTTTGATAATTTCCTTTATCACCATCTGTAGGATAGTATGAAACTGTTACAGATGGTTGCTGCAATAACACAATTGGTTGGTTTTCTTTTTAATTAATGACTATAAACTATATCACAATGAAAGAAGATCTCACCTCATTACTGGTGCCAAGTGTAGAAGTTAACACAGGACCAATTACTAGACTTGGATTAATCACTGCCAACTCAAACTTTTTGTCTTCTACATCAAAGAGGTTAAACAAAATCAAATGTTTGAAAATAAATAGAATACCATTAGTTATATCCACCACAAGTTACTTCTAGATCATAACTTTATTTTACTATTTTTTCCTTCAGAACTTTACCAGTACAAACACATTTTCTCTTGATAACAACACTTCATCCTACAATCACAAACTTGTTTTTGTTCTGGCTTCAAAAATTATATACTTTTTACTCGATAAAGACATTTCTTTTCACAACTAGATTTTCAGACATAACCCTTTTTAAATAAATTGCCATCTATATACTACTAAAACTCTGAGATTGTTTGTTTGCTTGTCTGTAATTAAATACAGCAAAAACAGCACACAATACCGCCATATTTGTAATGAAATGAGAATAGAAACAGAATAAAACAAGTTTCGTTAAAATCAGGCCACGGGTTACTGAGTTAGCCCATTTTTTGGGTCACTTTTATGAAAA